GTTTCATGTCTTGAATGAAATCACAATGGAAAACTGAATCAGATTACCTGTACTGTCCTGTTGTTTGAAAATTACTTCACCACGCATTTCATGACTGCCTGCCACAGAATTTTGATTGATTTGTTCAGTCAATAAAAGTTTTATACTAATATGAGTTTCCCACTTGTGGCAAAATGAATGGTTGTTTTGGTAACAACGCTTATACAGGTGAAGTTAATATTAATTTAAAGCTTTTTACCGATTTTTCCAGATCAAACCATTATGGCACCGAGTGGAAACGGAGCAGCACGTGACAGTGATGTTACATCACTTGGTACCGGACAAGAGCTGAATTTTGATGATGTCACACTGAAAGGTAAAGATTCTTACAACTGTTAATAGTGTATCACCAAAAGGCCTTTAATATAGCAAACTAAGGACAAATGAAATAAAATATACAAAAATGACAAAAAACCGTCACTTGAAAACATTCAACATACGGAAGTGGTTAAAGAGTCAAAGTCGTTAAACATCTCTGCTGAAGAAGTTTTTTTCATTTTTTTTGTGTAGATTAGGTTTTTCGTAGAATTTATGGTCGAGTTTATCACTTGTGGCAAAATGAATGACTGTTTTGGTACTAGTGCTTTATATACAAGTGAAGATAATGTCATTTTACAGCTTTATACTGATTTTTCGAGATCAAACCATTATGGCACAGAGTGGAAACAGAGCAGCAAGTGAGATTGATTTTACATCACATGGTACCGAACAAGAGCTGAACTTTGATGATGACACACTGAAAGGTAAAGATTCTTACAACTGTTAATAGTGTATCACCAAAAGGCCTTTAACATGAGAAATTTAACGAGAAATGAAATAAAAGATACAGAAAGGAAAAAAACCGACAGTTGATAACATTCAACATACAGAAAGACTGAAAGTCGTTAAAAATTATCTCCACTGAAGGTGTTTTTTATTTTTTATCAAGGTTAAACTTTTTCTAAAATTTGTGGTCGACGAATTCCTATATCTTGCGGATTCACCGTTACATATAGCCCTACATTAGCTCCCGCCAAGTATGATTCCTATTTTCCCACCAACCCGAAAGATGCACACGCACCGCATAATGGTTTATTAGTGTGAGCTGCAAATTTAATGCTTTTTGAGCTTTTTTAGCATTTTTTAAATCAGAAAGTGAGGAACGGAACGACCAAATTTGCCCCTATTTGACAAGTCTGTGACCAATGTCATGATCAACGCCATTGATGAGTTAACAAGTGACACCATTTGCCTAACCGGGGAATAAATGGTCTTTGTCGTATTTTTGGTTTTAATCTGTAGCAAAGAGACGAAGACGGAAATGAACCTTCTAAAAAGTTGCACACGATAGTCCGCATTGTGCTCTTATCTTTTGTACCCACAATTATAATTCAACATTTAATTTTTTTTTATACCATAGCAAGTTTCTTTCTAATTACAAGAGACGTGGATGACCGAATGGGGGCAAAAATCAAAACCCCCAAAATTCCCTAGACCAAAAATTGACTCCCAAAAAAATCCCATACAGAACTGCGCACCACCAAGATTATTCAGTTAAAATCAAGCCAACTAAGAAAATACTTGCCAAATTTTTCCTACCCTAAAAGAATCCCGGAATTAAAAATTTTAAACCCAAAAAATCCTTCTATCATCGCTATTACTTGAAATCCGGAGTACCTCCACTGGAGTTTCGTTCCACCCCAAATTTCGTAATCGAAAGTTTTGCTTATGAGGTACTTCATAACCGAAAAACAGATTGTCGAAAATGGAGCTGAATCGGAGAGACCTATAAGTAAAAAAGGAAACAACCAGGAATGGGAAAAGGACCAAGTATCCTCTATTTTTGGAAACCGAAATACACTCAACTGGAAAACGAAGAACCTTCAACTCCAGTGAAAGGGCCTGCAATCAACTAAAATGGGTCAGTTAATTTGAAGCGTGACCATCCCCTTTGGGTATTTGCGTTGCCTCGAGGTACTCTTGCCCACGGTCGGGCATTTAGAATCAAACGTCTGTCTCGGGGAGGGGAGAGTATAGTAGAGTTTTACATTTTTAGCGCCCTTCATTGAGAAAGTTTGTGGTATTGGGGTGTTTGGCAAATTTCATGCGGTACTTAATATGTAATTGTGGTCTTGAATTCTGATATTGTGTTAGTTCTAAACATGCGGAAGTTTTTGTTATTGGCTCGGCGATTTTTAGCATGGTTTAAGTTGTCGAATTTGTCGATTTTGCTTAGCTGTGTTACGGAGTTCGGTATACCACTAGCCGCTCCAATATTAATTTTTTAGCATGCGTATACTTCTATTACAAGACTGGCTTCGATAGTGTAATATCGCACCCAGTTGAGGTAGTATAAGGATTTTCACTTTAGTGCTAAACAATATTCCAATGGTAATTTGTTATGCGGTTGAATACCCTCGTTGAAACCATCAACAGAAACGTTTAGAAAGGTTGCATTTATATTAAAGGATGCAGAATTCCTACCGTGCAACCACAGCACCTTCACATGGTACCATTTATTATAATTATTAACATTATGATTATGATGATGTTGATGATTATGATGATCATTACTAGTATTTGAAAAGGTTTTTTTAGTGTTAATCTAATCTTAAGTTTTTGTAGTTTTTTAGGGAAAAAAAAAGTGCTGTTGTCAATGTGGTCATAGCTGCCAAATATCTTTAAGTAGAAAACGGGATTTATGTAACTAACAATGTTTTTATCACGAATTTTTATCAACAAAGTATCACTGATCAATAACGAAAGCTGTTGCAAATTACGACTATTATCTCCTTTCTATTCATGAGTTCTATGAATCTCAAAGCAAACTTAACCGAGTTTCACATGCACGAAAATGAGACATTATGTTTACAAGGGACATTCTAATGATAGCTTATTGCTGCAATTGACTCCTGATTCTGTTTCCAAATATGGTTCTGTCACGTGTTACAGAAGTCGCATTGTAACTCCCTACTGCTCCAAGGTCGATTGACCACGTAACAAAAAAATATTACTGAAAGAAAAAAAAAACATCGCTCTGAATCTGAAGATGAATCAGCTAACAAGGTTGTCGAAACGTAAGTTCGCAATGGTTAGTTACTAGGGTGACGTGAGCGAGTGGGCCACTGAAATTCTGGAAAGCAGTTTCATGTCTTGATTGAAAGCGCAATGGAAAACTGAATCAGAGTACGTGTACCGTCCTGTTGTATGAAAATGACCTCACCGCGCGTTTCATGACTGCCTGCCACATAATTTCAATGGATTTGTTTCAATGAAAGTTTTATACTAATGTGAGTTTACCACTTCAGTGTGGCAAAATGAATGGTTGTTTTGGTAATAATGCTTATACAAGTGAAGATAATATTAATTTAAAGCGTTTTACTGATTTTTCTAGATCAAACCATTATGGCACTGAGTGGAAACGGTTCAGCATGTGACCGTGATGTTACAACACTTGGTGCCGGACAAGAGCTGAACCGTGATGATGACACACTGAAAGGTAAAGATTCTTACAACTGTTAATAGTGTATCACCAAAGGACTTTAACATAGCAAAGTAAGGAGGAATGAAATAAAAGATACAGAAAAGAATTCAAAATGATTTCAAAACCTTCAACATACGAAAGTAGTTAAAGAGTCGTTTGTGGCCGATGAATGCTGAATTTTCTCCCGGCAGGTATGATTTCTATTTTCTTGCCAACCCGAAAGATGCACACTACCGCATAACGCCTTTAATAGTATTGTAAGTTCCGTCTAGCTTTTTTGGCGTTTTTAACTTTAGGAAGTGAGTATAACTGACGACCAAATTTGCCACTATTCTGTGACCGATGCCTTGGTTAACGATATTTATGAGTTAACAAGTGACACCATTTGCCTAACCGGGGAATAAATGACCCCTGTCATGATCATTGTTTTTGTTTTAATCTGTAGCAAAGAGACGAAGAAGGAAATGAACATACTAAAAAGTTCCTCACGATAGTCCGTATTGTACTCTTATCTTTTGTACTCACAATTATAATTCACCATGAGGTCTTTTATACCATAGGAAGTTTCGTTCCGAAGGCGTATTCCGGATTTCAAGAGACGTAGATGAACTAGTGGGGGCAAAAATCAAAACCCCAAAAGTTCCCTGGATCAAGAATTAACCCCCAAAAAATCCTGTACAGAACTACGCACCAAGATTATTCGCTTAAAATCAAGCCAACTAAGAAAATACTTGCCAAATTTTTCCTTCCCCAAAAGAATCCCGGAATTGAAAATTTTAAACCCCCAAAATCCTTCTATCATCGCCGTCACTTGAAATCCGGAGTACCTCCACCGGAGTTTCGTTCCACCCCAAATTTCTTAATCAAAAGTTTGCTTATGACGTACTTCATAACCGCAAAACAGATTGTCGAATACGAAGCTGAATCGGAGACACCTATAAGTCAAAAGGAAACAACCACGAATGGGAAAAGAACCAAGTATCTTCTAGTTTTTGGAAACCGAAATACACTCAACTCGAAAACGAAGAACCCTCACCTCCGGTGAAAGGGACTGCAATCAACTAAAATGGGTCAGTTAATTTGAAGTGTGACCATCCCCTTTGGGTATTTGCGTTGCCTCGAGGTACTCTTACCCATTGTGGGGTATTTGGAATCAAACGTCTGTCTCGGGAAGGGGAGAGTATAGTAGAGTTTTACATTTTTAGTGCCTTACATTGAGAAATTTTGTGGTTTGGTGGTGTTTGGCAAATTTTCATGCGGTAGTTATGTAATTGTGGTCCTGTTTTCTGATAATGTGGTATTTCTAAACATGTGGAATTTTTTGTGATTGGCTCAGCGATTTTTAGCATGGTTTTGTCGAATTTGTCGATTTCTCTTTGCAGTGTTACGGTGTTCTGTATACCCCAAGCCCCTCTACAATCTCTTTTTTTTGCGCACGCGTATACTTCTGCCACGAGACCGGCTTTGATAGTGTGATATTGTGCCCCGTTGCGGTTATAGAAAGGTTCACCAAACAATATTCCCATGATAATTTGTTATGCGGTTGAACCCATCAACAGAAATAATTAGCAAGGCATTTATAACAACGGATGCTGAAATCCTATGGTGCAACCACAGCACCTTCACATTGTACCATTTATTATTATAATTATTATAACTATTATGTTATTATTATTATTACTATTTGGAAATGTTATTTTAGCGTTAATCCAATCTTAAGTTTTTGTAGTTTTGAAAGTAAAAAAAGTGTTGTTGATGTGGTCATAGCAGCCGAACATCTTTAAGTAGCAAACCGAATTTATATACTTAACAGTGTTTATCCCGAGTTTTTATCAACAAAGTATTACCAATAACGAAAGCTGTTACAAATTATGACGATTATCCCGTTAATTTCTATAAAGCTAAAAGTAAACTTTACCGAATTTCACTTGCACCAAAACGAAACAATATGCAATTGACTCCTGATTCTGTTTTCAAATATGGTTCTGTCATGTGGTACTGAAGTGGTACTGTAACTCCCTGCTGCTACTAAGTCGATTGACTAGTGTAACAAAAAAAAACTGAAAAAAATGTCGCTCTGAATCTAAAACTGAATCAGCCACCGAGATTGTCGAAAAGTTAGTTGGTAATAGTTGGTACTATTCTTGAAATTCTTGAAAGCAGTTTCATGTCTTGATTGAAAGCACAATGGAAAACTGAATCAGATTACGTGTACTGTCCTGTTGTTTGAAAATTACTTCACCACGCATTTCATGACTGCCTGCCACAGAAGTTTGATTGATTTGTTCAGTCAATAAACGTTTTATACTAATGTGAGTTTACCACTTGTGGCAAAATGAATGGTTGTTTTGGTAACAGCACCTATACAAGTGAAGTTAATATTAATTTAAAGCTTTTTACCGATTTTTCCAGATCAAACCATTATGGCACCGAGTGGAAACGGAGCAGCATGTGACGGTGATGTTACATCACTTGGTACGGGACAAGAGCTGAATTTTGATGATGACACACTGAAAGGTAAAGATTCTTACAACTGTTAATAGTGTATCACCAAAAGGCCTTTAATATGGCAAAAAAAAAGGAAAAAAAAACGTCATTTGAAAACATTCAACATACGGAAGTGGTTAAAGAGTCAAAGTCGTTAAACATATCTCTACTGAAGGTGGTTTTGTAATTTTTTATCTAGATTTGGCGTTTCTTAGAATTTGTGGTCGAGTTGACCATTTGTGGCAAAATGAATGGCTGTTTTGGTGTTAGTGCTTTATATACAAGTGAAGATAATGTCAATTTACAGCTTTATACTGATTTTTCCAGATCAAACCATTATGGCACAGAGTGGAAACGGAGCAGCAAGTGAGGGTGATGTTACATCACTTGGTACCGGACAAGAGCTGAATTTTGATGATGACACACTGAAAGGTAAAGATTCTTACAAGTGTTAATAGTGTATCCTAGTCACCAAAAGGCCTTTAACATAGAAATTTAAGGTGAAATGAAATAAAAGATACAGAAAGGAAAAAAAACCGTCATCTGATAACACTCAACATACATAAAGACTGAAAGTCGTTACACATTATCTCCACTGAGGGTGTTTTTTATTTTTTATCTAGATTAAACTTTTTTTAAAATAAGTGGTCGACGACTTGTTCCTTTATCTTGCGGATTCACCGTTACATATAGCCCTGCATTAGCCCCCAGGAAAGTATGTTTCCCCTTTTCCCGCCAACCCGAAAGATGCACACGCACCGCATAATGGTTTATTAGTGTGAGCTACAAATTTAATGCTTTTTCAGCATTTTTAGTATTTTTAACATCAGAAAGTGAGGAACGGAACGACCAAATTTACCCCTATTTGACAAGACTGTGACCAATGTCATGATCAACGCCATTGATGAGTTAACAAGTGACACCATTTGCCTAACCGGGGAATAAATGATTTCTGTCGTATTTTTCGTTCTAATCTGTTGCAAAGAGAAGACGAAAATAAACACACAAAGACGGAAACGAAGACGGAAATAAACACGCAAAAAAAGTTGCACTCGATAGTCCGTATTGTATCTTTTGTACCCACAATTATAATTCACCAATTTTATTTTTTTATACCATAGCAAGTTTCGTTCTCAACTGGTATTCCGGATTTCAAGAGACGTGGATGACCGAATGGGGGCAAAAGTCAAAACCCCTAAAATTCCCTGGACCAAAAATTAACGCCCCCCCCTCCCCCGGAAAAAAATAATAATTGCCTGCTGCAATCAACTAAAATGGGTCAGTTAATTTGAAGTGTGACAATCCCCTTTGGGAATTTGCGGTACTCTTTCCCACGGTGGGGCATTTGGAATCAAACGTCTGTTTCGGGGAGGGGAGAGTATAGTAGAGTTTTACATGTTCNAATGATTTCTGTCGTATTTTTCGTTCTAATCTGTTGCAAAGAGAAGACGAAAATAAACACACAAAGACGGAAACGAAGACGGAAATAAACACGCAAAAAAAGTTGCACTCGATAGTCCGTATTGTATCTTTTGTACCCACAATTATAATTCACCAATTTTATTTTTTTATACCATAGCAAGTTTCGTTCTCAACTGGTATTCCGGATTTCAAGAGACGTGGATGACCGAATGGGGGCAAAAGTCAAAACCCCTAAAATTCCCTGGACCAAAAATTAACGCCCCCCCCTCCCCCGGAAAAAAATAATAATTGCCTGCTGCAATCAACTAAAATGGGTCAGTTAATTTGAAGTGTGACAATCCCCTTTGGGAATTTGCGGTACTCTTTCCCACGGTGGGGCATTTGGAATCAAACGTCTGTTTCGGGGAGGGGAGAGTATAGTAGAGTTTTACATGTTCAGCGCTTTACATTGAGAAAACTTGCGGTATTATTGTGTTTGCCAAATTTTCCTGCGGTAGTTATGTAATTGTGGTCTTGAATTCTGATATCGTGGTATTTCTAAACATGGAGAATCTTTTTTTTGATTGGTTCGGTGATTTTTAGCATGGTTTTGTCGAATTTGTCGATTTTTCATTGCGGTGTTCGGTATATCCCTAGCCGCTCTTTAATCTTTCTTTTGCGCATGCGTATACTTCTGCTACAAGACCGGCTTTGATAGTGTTATAACGTGCCCAGTTGCGATTTTAGAAAGGTTTACACTTTCGTGCCAAACAGTATTCCCATGATAATTTGTTATGCGGTTGAACCCAACAACAGAAACAATTAGCAAGGCATATATAATAATGGATGCTGAAATCCCATGGTGCAACCACAGCACCTTTAAATTGTACCATTTATTATTATAGTTATTATAACAGCCAAACATCTTTAAGTAGCAAATCGGATTTATATAATTAACAATGTTTTTATCAGGAATTTTTATCAACAAAGTATTACCAATAACCAAAGCTGTCGCAAATTAGTGTGTGTAATCAAATGGTGACGAGTGAAATTAGGGAATAATTTCACGCGCGTTTTGTCCAAATCCTTATAATACCCCGACCCTTTAGGCGAGGGAAATTATTAGGATTTGGAAAAAACGCAAGTGAAATTATTCCCTAATTTCACGAGTATACCATTTTATTACCTATTAATATCATGGGTGACGAATTACGTTAGCAATCTTGGATTTTTGACATGTTTATCCTGAATCGTATCGATCGAGAACTCCACTCTCTCAAATGTTTAGACCTTAAATTTGGCTGATAAAGTTCAGAATTTTTCAGACTTTTTCGGCAAAATACCTGTTAGAATCCTTCTTGATGTTCTCCTGTGTGTTCAGGTTTCCTAAAGCGTCTTTTTGTGCCCTGACATGAAGTAAGTGCCGTAAAATTTTGAAGCAGCGGTAGAACTGTGACTCTGCATGCCTTCCCAACGGTACCGTTAAAACATTAAAGACATGTGAAATTACAAAGTAATGCTGACATTTCGCGCCAAAATTAAGGAGTAATTCGTCACCTATGATATTATGACGATTATCCCCTTAAATTCTATAAAGCTAAAAGTAAACTTTACCGAATTTCACTTGCACCGAAAAGAAACAATATGTTTATAAGGATTATTGCTGCAATTGACTCCTGATTCTGTTTTCAATTATGGTTCTGCCAGGTCACGTGTTACTGTAGTGGTACTGTAACTCCTTGCTGCTACTAAGGCGATTGACTAGTGTAACAAAAAAAAAAGCTGCAAAAACCGTCGCTCTGAATCTCAAACTGAATCAGCCACCGAGATTGTCGAAAAGTGAGTTCGCAATGGTTGGTCACTATGGTGGCCTGAGCGACTCAGCTACTGAATTCTTGAAAGCAGTTTCATGTCTTGATTGAAAGCACAATGGAAAACTGAATCAGATTACGTGTGCTGTCCTGTTGTTTGAAAATTACTTCACCACGCATTTCATGACTGCCTGCCACAGAATTTTGATTGATTTGTTCAGTCAATAAAAGTTTTATACTAATGTGAGTTTACCACTTGTTAAATTGTTAAATTGTTTTTATTAATTTAAAGCTTTTTACCGATTTTTCCAGATCAAACCATTATGGCACCGAGTGGAAACGGAGCAGCATGTGACAGTGATGTTACATCACTTGGTACCGGACAAGAGCTGAATTTTGATGATGTCACACTGAAAGGTAAAGATTCTTACAACTGTTAATAGTGTATCACCAAAAATCCTTTAATAGCGGAGCTCTGGCGCGCGAAGCGCGCCTGCGGAACACCATCGGTAAGTAAATCTATCCATCCCAGAAAATTTGGTAATCACGTGACCGTACACCGCCCTCAGCCCGCCCGTCCGTCCGCACCACAGGGTAACCAATGTTCAATCACACTTTCTAGTTTGGGAGCACAGGAAGACTGATATTGCAGACATATTGCACATCAATCTTGTGATCAATTGACAGCTGTCAAACCAGGGTATCCGCTGTATCTTTTTAAAGTTATCCGCTGACAAGTTACTAGTTTTCAAATGATTGCAGGCTCAAGTTTAATTTTTCAATTCATATGAATTATGTTGTGTTTTATATGTGCCGCACAATTAAAATTTTGATTTCAAACTGACCTCGGAAGCTAAGAATTAAGCCAGTTTTTATAGGCAGGGAGGACATGCTAGTTGCTTTTGACTTTTCTCACCAAGGTCACGCGTTGGTCACGCTCTACGTCCAATTTTTATACTCTGATTGGTCAAAATTTGACAGGTGAGTTCACGCGGAAAATTTATGCAGCATCTTGAAACTTGTTTACTTTGACAGCTGAAGCTGACAGAGTTTTGTGTCAACTTTGTGATGTTTTTAACTGTCTTTTTCCACTAAATGTACAAAGTGAAATTCAGCTGCTATCAAGAGTCTTCTGTTATTCATGGCTAGTTTGTTTATTGGGTTTTTGGTTGAGAAATACGTCGCTTTGGCAAAGTCGGAAATCCGATTCGGATGGCATCGTTTTCGTTTTTCACCTTGCTTGATGCGTAAGACGGTTGAAAAGTCTGAAGCGGTTCTGGCCTTACTTGATAGTTTTCAGTGCATCTCAAAAGGTAAGCCTGAGTAATTATTGTATTTGTTTGTTTTTTATATCTAATTTAATGAAGTCGAGCGTAGTTTACGCGGCTATTTGGTTTATGCACGTTTGTAAGATTTGAGACAATGATCTGACCGAGAGTGACCGAGTATCAGGTTTGATTATCAGCTTATGGAACTTTAAAAAGCCTTTAGACATTTTCTCACCGCAAATAGAAAGAAAACGTTCCAAAGAATATTTGGTTACAATTCTGGCTGTAAAAGAAAGCTTTGAGCGATTTTCTTGCCTCGAGTTCATCTTTGAAAAAAGCAAACACCGGGAAGCCGGCTTAAAACGTAAACAAGGATTTTCAGAGACACTTTAATACTTGTCTTCGTGAATGAAAATTGTTGTCTCTGTATATGTTTCACCGAATTATTTTCCCTTTCTTTATTGATTGTTAGTAGTCTCTTTTGCAATTTTAATCGCTGTGCCGTTTGTTTTCAGTCGCTCATGAACATCGCTTGCAAGAGTAGTCAAAATGCCGCGCGTATCAAACGCTTTTGAAGATTACAGATCTTTATAATAAATTCTTTATTGTGTTGAAGCGTATAACTATATTAATCTTAATTTAAACAGTCGACTTGTCAAAAGTGAGAACTGGCTAGCCGTATAGGTGATTTTGGAAATTTTTTTGACGATTTCGCTAAAAGCCCACACGTGCTTTGATCGTCCTGAATATTGAATGAGTGCAATTTGTATTGCAAAATTGTGAAACACTGCATTCTGTCCGAGGTCTGTATGATGAAAACGGCGCAGGTGTTTTCCAGACCTAATCTACTGTGATCAAGAGCCATTATGGCTCTTAAATGTGATCGAAGATGATTGCTTTTTTTTGGGTGTACATATAAAGGCTATCAACTCGATGTAAGATTAAGTTCACTCTGAGCTTGGACTGTTTGCAAATTATTTTTCTCGAAAATGACGTAGTCTTTCCCTCAAAAGTCACATGAATGTGCGCTAAAGTTAACTGATTTGTGGAATACAAGTTTATTGTTTGATTTGAATTATAAATTCGAGTTAATAGGAGCTTCGCTTTTAGCCCTGGCTAAATCTATATATTATAGCAAACTAAGGACAAATGAAATAAAATATACAAAAAAGACAAAAACCGTCATTTGAAAACATTCAACATACAGAAGTGGTTAAAGAGTCAAAGTCGTTAAACATTATCTCTACTGAAGGTGGTTTTTTAACTTTTTATCCAGATTTGGCGTTTCCTAGAATTTGTGGTCGACGCATTCCTTTATCTCGCAGATTCACCGTTATATACAGTAGTGAATTAGCTCTCGGCAAGTATGATTCCTATTTTCCCGTCAACTCGAAAGATGCAAACGTACCGCATAACGATTTAGTAGTGTTCTCTGGAGCTACAAATTTAATGTTTTCCTAACGTTTTTAGCATTGTTAACCTTAGAAAGTGAAAGTGAGGAACTAACCGACCAAGTTGCCACCGTTCCATAAATCTGTGATCAATGTCATGGTCAACGTCATTTATGAGTTAACAAGTGACACCATTTGCCTAACCGGGGAATAAATGATCTCCGTCATATTTGTTGTTTAGTAATCTCTAGCAGAGACAGAGACGGAAAAGAACACAAAAAATGTTGCACACGGTAGTCCCGTATGGTACTCTTATCTTTTGTACTCAAAAGTATGATTCACCATTTTATTTTTGTTTTTTTTCTTTATTTTTTCTATCATTTTTCCTGCCGAACGGATCAGTTTATTGTTTTAATTGCACAATTACCGTATTTCCTCGAATTATATTACCCGTCGACCCCCCAGTAATCGCCTCCCTCGAATAATCGCCCCCCCTATGACAGAAAAATTTGAAATAATCGCCTCCCTTCCTTTCTTTTATTTTCTCCCTGTCAAGTTAAAAATTGCCACCTTAGGTAACAAACAAAGCTGAAGTGGAGTCCGATGCAGCAAAAATGATCTGCGACGATTCAAACTCTGACGTCGATGATACTGTACAGACATTGAGACTTAAGCAAGGACCAAATTTGGAGCACTTATAAAGCCCATGTTCACTATATTGGATGTGATTAGTTTTTCCTTTTATGGGATAATAATTAACAATTATTCTTTGAAATCGAGGTGAATAGTGGCTAAATATTCCTAAAGCCACCGTATTCACCGAGATTGAAAAGAATAATTGTTTTAGTATATACACACGAAGTGATCTCAACAAAATGAGAGGGGAAACCATTGAAAAGCACGATTTGATTGACAGATCAAATCACGCGTAAGTTTAAAAATAGATCTCTGCAGAATTTTCAAACATGGCAATTCACAAGTTTATCATTCCGCAAACAACAGCGTAATGGCTTAAATATGGAACCCCTAAAAGTTTGAACTGTTTCCTTACCTGAGAAGAAAAGTAGAGCTTTGTTGTTTCCTGTTGACTCGCCAAGTTTATAGCCAAAAGGGTTTGTTGTGTCGTTCTTCGCATGAAGTGCTGACAAAAATGGTGGCTCGGTTGCTCGAGGTAAGACGTCGTCTTCCTGTATCATTCTTTCTCCTGTTTACTTCAAACGTAGAATTTCTGCAAACATTTTCTTTTAAATTTGTTTGTCATAAATAAACTTCGATTTTTGAGCCAAAATTTTCTTGTTAGAAAACGCTGAGTTCACGAAACGGCTTCTTCTACGCGAATACACGGGAGTTGTAAACAATCCATCGAGCACAAAACTTAGCTACAGTAAATTTAAAAACGCCGTATTGAATCCTTCCAAGTGTTTTCTTGCCTTAAAAAAAGGCAGCCCCAGGATTTTGTCGACTTTTGAAAGATCGCTCTCTAAAAAAATGGAAAAAACACTGAGCTCACACATTATCCACTCCCTAGGAGGTGAATATTGTTGAATAGTCCGAGATAGCGAACTAATCAGATTGCTTAAATCACCAAGATCACTGAGTGTGTATATACTAAAACAAAATATTTAGGGTACGACTTCCAGTGAGCAGTATTTGAAATAATCGTCTCCCTCGAATAATCGCTCCCTTTTGGTACGAAAAAGACACGGTATTGTATCCCGATCTCCCATGAAAACCCCACTCCGCTCGTCATTTAAATTCTCGCTTTCTGGTCCTGTTTTTATCTCTCGTCCCGAATATCACTTTCAAAAGATCTGCTAAATGCTGCATCTCGCCTATTGCAGACCACCTACCCCCAGCAGTCTTTGTTTGACGGGAGAGAGGCTGGCCCCTCCACAGGTTCTCCCAAAGCTTTGTGGGGAGCACGGAACAAGTTAGAAGGGCGAGATCGGTATGATGGGAACGAGGGCAGAACGCAAGCGGGGAGTGACGGGAAAAAAAAAAGAGAGAAAGCCTCATTTTTTCCCTAACAATTAACTTAATTATCCCCTAAAAAGTGATCGCGAGCGACTGAGGACAAGGCAGGGGAGGGGAGGGGGCGGCTGTGCACGGGCTGTAGACCATGAGGTTTAATGACATTTCAACCTTCTTCATTTTTAGCAACAGCTGAAGTCTACAAAACCGAAGGCAATGAAGCGTACTTAAAGGAAGATTACAGCAATGCCGTTTACTTTTATACTGAGGGAATTAAAGTAAACTGCTTGGAAGAAGACCGAAAGGCGAAACTGTACAGCAATAGAGCTTATGCAAACCTTCGTTTAGGTAAGGCTACTTGTATTTTGAAAGTAAAGAAATATTGCTTATTTTCTGATTGGTTAACCACTGATGTTGAATGTTTGCCAGTGTGACTTGCTTTGGAATGGTCCGTTAGAGCGTTTCCAGACTTCACTGATCTTATTTGCTTTGAATTTGCTTCGCTGCCTTTGCTGAGAGTGATTTTTGTTCGTTTGTATTTTCAACATTCATAGCAAACTACATTTACTCACTGGTAGATGTAAAAAACGCCACGAACATTCGACCATTGGCAATCAAACTAATAATAGCAGGTAATTTTAGAAGAATTTTTTAAACTATTTAGTATCTGAGAAACAGAATAGATTATCATAATTATACTAGTAATGTTGGTAAAGTATTCTAATTATCGCCTTCTTATGAGAACATCGTAGCCTTTCTTTAATTTGTTTGCTTACAAAAGTTCAAACGGCTACAAAGTTTAGACGTTTAAATAATATGGAAGAAACTGAAGTTTAGATTTGGAGTCCAGAGGTTAACAAAGTCATCATCAAATGTTTGTTTGCTCACGGGCTCTTGATAGTACAAAAATGGCAACTACGGTTATTCTTAGGCTACTTGCGACATAGTTCGTCATTCTCTTGAACATAGGCACGTATGAGAGAGAGGCATGAGCTATTATGGATGCTTCAGTGTACCTGTACCACGAATGTACTCATTTAAGCCTAATTTTAGAGTGGTTTATTGTTTGAAATTGTCCGGAAATTGGGTATTGCTGTACATGAAAATGATAAAAGTAGCAAAATGACAGCTTAAAACGCGAAAGTTGCGCACAACTGAGTCTATCCTTGTCGCTATAGAAAATTTATTAGTCCATCCTGAAGGATTATATACTTCTGGTTCATCACACTGCGACAAACATACAAAGATACTAATACACTATAAGAACTCCGACAAATGAGCTATTTTGAGAAATGGCAGGTAGGAAGGGAGCAAGACATAAAAAGTGTCTTCAACATGCTTTATTTTTACGATTTTAGGAGCGAAAGCGTTTGCAAAATTAAAACTGTTTGAGCTGGCGATCACGTGGTGTGATCAAGGATTAGCAGTATCCTTTTACTCTTTATATTCTTCCATAGCTGAAAAATGGTTTATTTTCGCAACTTGTTGTACACACTTCTGTTACGATTTGTCTACCATTTTTCTTGACTAACGGTTCAGTGCTTATTTGAGGGCGGTGCTTGGTTATCTAAACTTCTTCATTACGAATTACACAACAGTACGCGATATTTTCCTCTATTTCTTTGTTTGTTCAAAAGCGACCACAAAAGCACAGAAAAAGTGGAGTTTCTAATAAAAGTTAGTTTTTAAAAAGTTTGTGTAGCAATAACAGTGTCAACAATATTAGTCTTGTTAGCGTTTCAATATTAACAAGAGAGGATTATCCCCTCTTTAACCATGTTGCAGGGAAAGTGCTGCGTACATGTATATACAGGTTTCCTTTAAATTCAACTGGATATTGAGTGTTGTTCCTCCATTCGATTGCCATGAAAAGGTTAACTGATTCGACGATTCTGCTAGCATTCATTTTCCCGTCTACTTTGGAGCACACATATTGAATTTTATCCTTTATTTGATCGTAATCCAATTTGTTGACCGTTATAACTGGTAAAAAAAAATAATGGAATTGTGCATTTTGGGAGTCTAAAGGAACTGCATCCGTTATAGAGAGGAGACCGTTTTAAACAGATCAACTTACAGAACATATATGGCAATATACTCGGAGAGTTGTCCAGTGGCCGTAGTATACGGGGTGACCGCCATATACAGGGCCGTTATATACAGTTTTGACTGTATTTTTTTTGTTTCTAACTTTAGGCTGCTCATAAGGTGTAACGCTCTTCCGATGTAATTCGGTACACGTTCTTTTTAAAATATGTCTTGCTTTCAAAGAAAAAAAGTTGGAGGTGTATCTTATTGTTTTCACCTAGTTGTATATGATTTGATATAACCACGTAGTGGAATAGAATCACAACAAGATGAGCAAAGGTATATTCAACCTATGGCAAGTATACTTTACTCCAACTTAATTTCGAAATTACTATTTACACTTTGACAATTTGGAAGATCGACGCAGAAAACACCACGTTGCTTGAACTAAGGAAAAAAGCGACGAGTAGAAGAGCCGTGGATAACGAGGTATTTTGTTTATTTCTATAAAATAGCATTTTGAATTGTTTTGATTAAGCGGTCGAAGTGACCTTTGATATTACTGATATTACACGGTTGATTATAATAGAAGAGATTCCATCGCCGAATACCACCATTCGTTCCTTTTTGGCGGAGGTTAATTCACAGTGAATGGTTGGTTCGTCTTTCTTGCATCGAACTAATTTCGATTCAACCGATGATGGAGCTTGAAAAAGTCACATATGAGATTTCAAGGGTTTGAGCTATGATCAAAGTTAATGCCTATTTTACAGAATTGCTCAATTAAAATAAATATTAGTTCATAGCCACCATAAAAAACACAGTGACCGAAAAATAAATTTCCAAAACGTCCACTTTGAATTTTCGGCAACTTCCAGTAGCAAACGGAACAGTATTTTTCAAAACTTCTAAAACAGAGGGACAATCTCGTGAGGTACACCCACATTTTCGAAAATTTTTTAACGGAAGATTTCTTTCCATTCATTTTTGCTCCCGGTATTTCCTGGTACAATTTTTGGTTGAATGGTTCCCACTTCAACAGCTTTCGGAATTTTTAGAAACTTTGCCGGAAAATTTCTGCACCATTTGCCGCTGTTTCCAAATTTTCGAAAGTTTTGGCTGAATGGAAAAGGCCCTTTGATTCTCTGTACGATAAATTTTATAGCCGAGAAAACGAATGAACTTTTGGCTCACTTCGTGATCCGCCAAAGTCAAGGCAGATTGGTCAAATATCAGCTATTGTAGATTTACCCTCTTAACAAATAAAGTTCATCAGTAACAATTCTATACTTGAGTATATATACTCCAGAAACTTGCTGTCCGAGCTATATATTAAGTCCTAATCCGTTTTTAAAGCCACAATCTGGCTCAAGCGGGTAATAGCGGGAGTTTGTATCGTTGGGGATTTGGCTGTTTTATCAGGGGTCGTTCGAAATATCGACGTATCCGCAGGGGGAGAGTTGACTTTTCGTATTGCCACAAAAATTCTTGTGGAATATTTTCTTCCTCACGAAGGGTACAACTTTACATTAAAATCATCTTCTATACCATAACTTGCTTCAAAAGAGAGTTTGTTTTACATTTTTTCTAGGCATACCCAGGAAGTAAAGGCAAACATGGAAAACCCGAACAAACTTCCAAAACAAATTGGTCGTGCAGTAATTGCCTTGGAATGAAAGCCTTAAAACGCGGTGATTTTAAAATAGCCCGGGATTACTTCGAGATGACATTGAATAAAGCCAGAGAGATCGGGAACAAAGACGAAGAAGGAGTTAGCCTTGGCAACCTTGGCCTCGCCTATCAGTCTCTCAATGATTTCAAAAAAGCAATCGAGTTTTATCAGCTGGCTCTAAAAATCGCAAAAGATACTGGAAACAAAGATGAAGAAGGAACTATATATAACAACCTTGGCAGTGCCTATAAGTATCTCAGTGATTTCAAAAAAGCAATCGAGTTTTATAAGCTGGCGCTAAGAATTGCAAAAGATACTGGAAACAAAGATAGAGAGGGAACTATATATAACAACCTTGGGAATACCTATCAGTCTCTCAGTAATTTCAAAAAAGCAGTCGAGTTTTATTAGCTGGCGCTAAGAATTGCAAAAGATACTGGAAACAAAGATAGAGAGGGAACTATATATAACAACCTTGGGAATACCTATCAGTCTCTCAGTAATTTTAAAAAAGCAATCGAGTTTCATCAGCTGGCTCTCTGAATCGCAAAAGATACTGGAAACAAAGATGGAGAAGCAACTGTATATAACAACCTTGGCAATGCCTATCAGTTTCTCAGCGATTTCAACAAAGCAATCGAGTGTTATCAGTTGGCTCTGAGAATCGCAAAAGATACTGGAAACAAAGATAAAAAAGCAAACATATATAACAACCTTGGCAGTGCCCACAAGTATCTCAGTGATTTCAAAAAAGCAAACGAGTTTTATCAGCTGGCTCTTAGAATCGCAAAAGATACTGGAAACAAATATCAAGAAGCAGCTGTATATAACAACCTTGGCTACTTCAATCAGTCTCTCGGTGATTTTAAAAAGCGATCCAACTTTATGAGCTGAGTCTAAGAATCATAAAAGATACTGGGAAGAAACATGGAGAAGGACCTACATATATAAACCTCGGCAATGTCTATGAGCATCTCGGTAATTCGGTAAAGCAATGGACTTTTATCAGCTAGCCAGAAGTATAGCAAACGAGACTGGAAACAAAGATGCAGAACAACGTGGATATGATAACCTTGCTTGTGTTCTTTTGTCTCTTGGCGACTACTCCAAAGCCGAGGAGTGTTTTAAATCCTGCATTGAACTGGTAGAGGAAATGAGAGTCCTCCTTGAAGAAAACGACGAGTGGAAAATCAGCTTTCGGAATGGACGTGATTGCGTTAGTCGTTTAGTGAGACTTCAATTACAACAACGTACTGAACGTAAGACACTCGAGGCACTTTTAACAGCTGAGAGGGGACGGGCAGAAGCTCTCGTGGACCTCTTGGAATCGCAATATGGCGTCAGGAAATCAATCTGTTCGCTGTCGAAACAGCAGACGGAACTTATCATTTCAAACCATATTTCGTCACCCACGTTATTTCTGATGAATGATACCCAGTCAGTGAATATATCTGGATGCTGTTAAAGGGGGGAAAGCTGTATGACTTTGTGCAACAGGGAGTTAGCAGTGATGACTTGACATCAATGACTTACCAAACATGCAAACAGATTGGTGTGAACAAAAGCTTGTGGAACCAGATTCGCTCCCAGAGAAAGATCGAAGACCAGGGTGGTGCTTTAAAAGTATTATACGACATATTCATCGCTCCAATTTCAGACTCGATAAAAGGTGACGAACTCGTCATTGTCCCTTACGGTTCATCGTTCTTGATTCCTTATGCTGCCCTTGTGGACCAAAACTCTAGGTATTTATCTGAAACGCTTAGAATTAGATTGATTCCATCACTGACAAGCTTAAGGCTGCTCGCAGAATGTCCGGAGGGCCGCCATAGTACATCGGGGGCTCTACTTGTTGGAAACCCGTGGGTGGAAACTGTACGCATAAGCCGCAAATCATTTCGTAAGCTTCCAGGTGCTGAGGAAGAGGTAAAAATGATTAGATAAATTCTAAACATCGAGCCTCTCACCGGAAAGAACGCCACAAAAGGTCGGGTTTTAAGCGGGCTCAACTCAGTTTCGTTAGTGCACATAGCAGCTCATGGTCGTACAGAAACCGGAGAAATTATTTTGTCTCCTAATTTTGCTAGTGCAAAAAGACCCAAAGAGCAAGACTTTCTTTTGACAATGGCAGATGTGTTGGATGCAAAAGTGCACGCCAAGCTAGTTGTCTTAAGCTGCTGCAACAGTGGGCGAGGAAATATCAAAGTCGAAGGAGTGGTTGGTATTGCACGTGCCTTCTTAGGAGCCGGTGCGCGTTCTGTTATTGCGACACTGTGGGAGATTGATGACGAAGCCACTCTTGCGTTTATGAGACACTTTTACGAACATTTAGTAGCCGGGCAAAGTGCAAGTAAGTCACTTCATCATGCCATGAAAAGGATGCGGGAGTCGGAAAAATTCATTGCCGTGAAGCACTGGGCTCCATTCGTGCTGATCGGTGATGACGTGACATTGAATTTTGGCCAATGAAAGGTGAGGTCCTCTCTGTAAGATAAGATAGACAATTAATCACATGTTCATGGACTTGAGAAATGAAAGGACTTTAATCTTTGGTTCAGCTCTTAGATTTCTAGCACCTGATTGTTTGGATACCGGGAAGCCTTTTACTTTCCGCAAAGTACCATTGGGAAACAAACAACACGGCAGAAAAGTAGTCATTTAATCCACAGATCAGCAGAGTAAGAATAACAATTTATACAACTGATGTAATAAACAAGAAAATGGGAAACGAAGATGTAGCTTCATTTGAATTTTCACACCTGAGGCTTTTATTCATAGGTTAAAAAAGAATCAAGAAAATATAAAAAATACAGTTAGTAAATCAAGCTTAAGAGACTTCATCTCTAAGCCGTTAACTTTTCAGAGTCTATCACCATTACTGTCTTCACTTGTTTTCGACCACTAATAAGCATTTCTTTTCATGTTCAGTTAAAGAATTATTCACGGTATCAAGAATTAATGCACCTGCAGAAAGAAAGAGTATTGTGAGCAGGGCAAATTCCCTTGTCCTGTGGGGTACTCCTGTATGAAAATTTGGCAAACTGTTTTTTCCTTCTGAGACTTAAACCGCTTCTCTTAAAAGTCAAATAAATAAAAACATACCCAATTCCAGGCCCTTCTCTAAGGGAGCACAACTTTTAGGCTCAGCTGATTTCGGACCCAGAATCTATACCCAATTTCAGGTCAAAAGAATCCATTTTCCTTGGGCCACTCATACTGTAAATCCTCTGTTAAGCCCCCCCTCTAATAACCCCCCCTTCCCTTTTAAGCCCCTCTTCCCCTTCCCTCCCCTCCCCTTATTATTCTTTACTAATTTATGATATACTATATTTATCAATCACAACTGTAACACTTCATGTGGACTGGTCCACTATAGTTTTTTCACCAGCTGGACTTTCAGATTTGTTTTTGATCCTGGACTGCATGACATACAACCATTGTACTTGAGCTGTTACACTTCGCAGTTATAGTTCTTTATGGAGAACTGATACCATCGTCTTTGCTAAATTATCTAGGCCCCCTCCCTCAAATGTGTTTGAAATAAATAAACCCCCGGGGGTTTAATAAAGGGTCTACGGTAATTATAGAGCTTATTTAAGGGATTAGGCGCCCACCCAACCTTTACAAAGAAGTGGAGCCAATAATAACTTGGTTGTTGCTGTCTTGAATCCATTGCAGGCCAAGTACATGTATACTCAATTAAATATTCAATTTGGACGTGCCCATAATGTACAACTATCCCCCGAAGTGGAAGTTGTTTTAGTATTTACCAAATCAGTCGGATAAAAATGAGAAAAAGTACCTTTTTGTAAATTAAAAACGTCACTTAGTGGGAACTTTATTTCCAATTTACGAACACTTCATAGATTTTGTCAAGTGCAATTTTGCGATTTTGTTGCAAATTCAGCATGAAAATAACTTTCTACCTACCAGTAATCACCGCCAAAAGTGAAACATATTACGGATGTACCATACAAATATATTCATATGCGTATAACAAATAATGAAGGTACGATAAGAATAACAAATTGGCAAGATTTTACAAAGCAAAACATGACTAAGAATGTCTAAAAGATAAAAATCGGATCTAATTAGTCAGGTCAACTAAAAGCTCCCTCCGCTGACAACAGCGCTCGCACATGCTCAACGTATTTATCTTGCGAGACTACTTCATTTAGGTAAGTGAAAAGAATGGAGATGAGTCAATTTAAGAGAGATTTTCATAGCCATACGCGCAGTGGCTCTTCGTCAAGAAGCACACACCCTCGTTAATAGAGGGTCTCGATGAGGGGATACAAATGCCAGTTGTCAGTTAAAATTTTGGCCATTTGTCAGTTGTCAGTTAAATTTAAGGCTTTTTGTGAGTTGTCAGTTAAATGATTATTAATGATTAACTATGAAACTTATTTGTATATTTTTGATGTGAAATTTAGCTTTAAAGACACATATAATGTAAATTAACGATTAAATTCCAAAACTGATGCAATAGCACTTTAATTTTTATCAGTTTTGCAGTTGTAAGCATTTCAAGTGGCCCTCCTTTTCTCAAGTCTTGTGTTACTCTCCTCCACTCGAACGTTTTTGCTGGCCCAGAGTCCAACATTTCCAACCATTATGCCAATCAAAATTTATACCTTCAGAATATATTATTGGGACGTAGATCGAAAGAAAGATCGTATCTGAATCATCTCGGAAAAAACTTGCAATTGCTTTTGTAACGCCCTCATTAGCAGCCATCGTATGCTGGCGCATTCTCAGAGGAGCGTAAATTTGAGATCATAGGTAATTTTTACCACAGGTGGTACATAACATGGGTTTTACAGTAAATCATTAACGAAATATGACACTTAAGTGTCTTGCTGCTAAGATTACCCCCCAAAATGCAGATTTGATCACACTGTCTGACGAAAAGAGTGGAACAATGCTATTTAAGGCCTTAAAACGGGTTTTTTTAGAAAAGAAGGGACAATCAGGTCCTTCTTCAGTTGTCGGTAAAACCCAGCGCAAATGTCAGTTGTCAGCTAAATTTTAGGATATTTGTCAGTTAAAATTTTGGCCTTTTTTCAGTTGTCACTTAACCCCATCCAGACCCTCTTAATACCACTAGCAAAGCGCACTGAAAACAAAACGCTTGACCGTCGCTTGTCTTTTAACCAAATGTGGTAATCGAGCAAGACGGCCCGTTCAGTCTTAAAGAATTTCTTAAACACTCAGTCCACCGCAAGTAGATTTAAACGGACTAAAGTTTGAAAACTTCCTCCCTCTAGTCTCAAAATCTTTAAGAGCGGCTCCGCGAAAATATCAACTAGACGAGGAAATAGTCAAGAAATGACCTGGTCTCAAACTCAGCCAGAATAAAGCCCTATGGGCCCTAGTTTCAAAATCGTTGGTTTAAGTAAGATCGAGTGAATAATATTTTTTTTAACGAATTTTTTCTTCCCGAGGCCTAAAATGGGCAAAAATCATGCGAAATCAGAGTCATATTCAGTAACTCGTACATTTTAAAATAAAGTTGGCTACTAAAATATAATGACACTTAATATTTTTACTATCTTTCCTCTATAATTTTAACTGATTAGTTCGCAATTTGGTGAACAAGAGATTTTTTAAGAAATTTTCGAAGTTGTTGACTCAAAATCGCTTAATCAACCGCAAAATTTAGCACTTTTTCACGAGCTAAAAAAGCGGATTGATACATGGTTTTAAACACCAAGGCTTCTTTAGTCTGAAAGAGCATTCTTTTTTCTTCAAATTAGCGAAATAAAAATGAAAAAATGAAATCACGAGCGCTGACAAAGCAAAGCAAATATGAATGTTACACTAAAAACGGGCGAAAAAACGTGACCTCTGACCGATGCACAACCAAATGCGAATTACGGACAGAAGAACCTGTGGTAACTTCTCGAAACAATATTGGTCCGAAATGTGTATAGGTTTTTTAAAATAAAGCTGACTTAAAGTATTAAGGGTCAGAAAGTCCTGAAAGCGGTAAAAAATACAACAAAATTTACGAGTAATCTGTTCCGTTTTCTGAATTTTATGCAGCGATTTATGCCGTTTACGAATTAACAATTTTTAATCTAACGATACCCACCTGAGACTGTGTTAGTTTAAGAGTCCATAGAACTTCTCAGAGGATTCCTCGGAAAGACCTCCAGAAGGAAATAAATGAAGAATTTGAACGTATGACTTTAACAATTTCACTTGCCGCCACGGCAATGAACGAAAACAACTGTCGAATTGCCACAGGCAAACCAGCTTTCAGCGCAGTCATGCAAAGCATGTCACGTCACGTAATTCTGGGCCGCGAATTTGGGAATGAGGGAAGAAATTCTTCCATGCTGTGCGCTAAAACATTTATAAAATAAAACTAGCTTTCGACTGTATCTTTGGAACCAGAAAAGAATAACTTTTTCCCCTGTTTTTGCTCTAGGAGCACTGTGCACTTCTTTTATTTTATCTGCTGTTTACAATGATTGTGTTTCAAGTTCAGAACGTGCATCTATAGCTAGCAATTGCTGTATGCTGTAAAAAGGATATCAAAGGGCACCAAAGCAGTGGCGGATCGATCCAGGGGGAGGTTCCCGGAGGTCCGGACCCCCCCCCCCCGCCCGCCCCCTCATCAGACCTGATACTTGTTTGAGACTAAAATCCTTACAACGATAGGATTGTATATCACTGTTTAACTGGCTGAATTTTTTAATGAAACGAGTGTTGTATTTTGCCACTAAACTGAATTCCAGAGATATTAAAAAATGTGATTGTCTTTGGGTACCCTCCTGTGATCTGTTCGCCACTGCTCGCAAAGCAGTACTTCCCGCGCCAATGGCGACTGGCTTTCACAGATTGAGGAACACGTAGTCGTTTCTGCCTTCTCAGTGACTAGTGGGAGGGGGTGTGGGGGAAAAGTAATTTGGCACCAAGTAAGTTTAACAGTCCAGTTCTGAACCAAAATTTGGACCTCCCCCCACCCCAATTGAAAAATTCCTGGATCCCCCCCCGCAAAGATGTTACTCTGGGTTCGGAGCCAATCAAGGCTTATGCTGGCGCGTACATTAGTAAATCAATTTTTTTCGAGTTATATTAGAGGCTTACTTGTAGGACGAAAAACAGTATATTTTTACTGATGTAATATGAAAATTGTGCCTGATCATGTGTATCCTAGAGGAACAAGAGACATATTTGTTGCGAGCCTTTCTAATCATTCGGTTTCCTGTGGTTCGGTGGTTCTTTGTGTTGAAACATTCCGACTAAAAGCCAAAAACAGGGAATGAGCTCTTCGGAAGCCAATGAACTGGTGGCCGCATCCGGATCTCAAAAAAAGATTTGGATAAGTTGAAAGGACAAAATTGAAGGAACTGATCGGCGAAAAGAGACAAGAAAGCCAGTACAAAGAAAACTAAGAATATACGTGATATCATTTTTTCCGATATTAGTCGGTTTACAACACAAACCTTTGTCGGGGGCTG